AAGTGTGCCTGACCCAAGGGAAGTTATTTTCAATAGCCACATATGCATGTGAATGTTGGATAATTAATAAGGAAGACCATAGAAGAATTGATGCATTGCGTTATGGCATTGGAGGAGAATATTAAAAGTACCACTGACTGCCAGAAGAATAAACAAATCTATGTTGGAAGAAGTACAGCCAGAATGATCCTTAAAAGTAAGGAGGCCAGATTTTGTCTCTCATACTTTAGACATGTCATCAGAAGGGACCAGTCCCTGGAGAAGGACATCATGCTTGGTAAAGTGGAAGGTCAGTGAGGAAGAAGACCACTCAATGAGATGGATTGGAGCAGTGCATCAGCAATGGGCTTAAGCATAGCAATGATTGTTAGATTGGTGCAGGACCAGGCAGTGTTTTGTTCTGCTGTGTATAGGGTCGCTATGAGTCATTATCAACTCTGTGGCACCTAACAACAATTATATAAAAGTGGAGTCCTGGTGTGATGCTGTAGGATAAGCACTGGACTGTTAATTACAAGGTCAGCTGTTCAAACATACCTGTTGCTCCTTGGAAACCCTATACAGGGTCACTGAATCAACTTACTTGATGGCACTTAACAACAACAACAGCAATTATATAAAAATAGTAAAAAGAACACACACACTTTAGATTAAATTCTCATACTCACACACATTAGGTTAAATCCTCAGACACTCATTTAGATTACATTCTAAGAATACAGTAATTATCCAGGAATTTTTTCATCCATTATAAAATTTCAAAGACTATTCGGAGGTTGTTCCATGAATATGTAATTTAAAATTGAAAAAAAACAACAACTTATTTTCTGTTCTCCCACCAGTCTTTGCCATCTGCCAATCTGTCATCTCTAATACTTTCTCTTTTTCTTATGACTTTCATCTAGTTTTTACCCCTTCTATCTCCTTTTGCCACTTCCCCCTGTGTTTTCTTGCTGCTAATGATAAAAGAAAAATTAGCAAAATCACAAAAATTGCAAAGCCAAAGTGAGTTGCAAAAAGTCTCAAAAGTAATAAAAATGTATTTTTGTACCTAAGGAAACAGTTTCATCTGTTTACACAACTGCCACAAATTATTTCTAAAGAAAAATTCCTATCAGTAATAATTGGGATTATTAAATTCTCTGTAAAATTTTAGCAGAGTTGTCTGAGACTGTTTGGTTGCTTCACTTATTGTTTCTTTTTCAGTGTATTTTTATTACACTTGAGTGATTCACATCCTTTGATACTCTACCATTATCTTCCTAACAAACATGGTGTGCAGAAACAAAAGGTTTACTGATGAATTCAACTTGACTCTCAAGTGTCGAAGGAAGCTTATTAGCTTCTTTTTCCAAACATTTTCTTCTAGGGATAAAATGATTTAAAAACAATCACAATGTCTTAGATATCACCAAACACCTTGAGGCAATAAATTGCTGGGCCTGAGGGCTCAGGACCATAGTCTCAGGGGACATCATGGTCAAGTGACATAATATAGTTCAAAAAGACAATGTTCTACACCCTACTTAGATGAATAGTTACTGGAATCTTAAAAGCTCATGAATGGCCATCTAAGGTACAGTATTTGTTTCTTAATATGCACAGGAGCGAAGAGTGAAAACACCTGGAATCATGTGATTCCATGACTGTGAGACCAGAAGTACTACATGGTGCCCCCCTACCACTGCTCTTAAAAGGATCACATTAGAAGGTCCTGGATAAAGTGGAAGAAACTGTAGAACAAAATACAAAATTATAAAAAAAACAGGGCTTACTGGTCAGATAGAGACTGGAG